CTGCGATGGATGCACCGAAGAGCGCAGCCCATCTCTGTCACCCAGGGTCCTCGAGTGCTTGCGAACCTTCTTGCAGAGCTCTGCCTCGTGTGGAATTGCCTTGTTTGTGGATGTGCTTTCAGCAGTGGCTAACACAAGCCTCCAGCCCTACTTCCATCGGGGCTGAGAAAGCCAGCACCTTTTTTAAACTGGGCCTAATCCCATTGCAGCGGGCCAGTTTTCTCCATACACCCACCATATACAGCTCATTTTCAAGACCACTTATTAAAATGGAGATGCTATAAATGTTTACTCTTAGTATGCAGAGCTTAGGACAAAAATAAAACCCAACAAAACCCAAAATCTGTTTTCCTCATCTCCAGCCGCCAGAATTAATGATGCAGAAACCAATGGGAGCAGCAGCTCTAGGAGATGACCTGTTCCTCTGCTCTTTCCACAGAGAGGTTTGAGGCAGGGGTGCAGTCAAGAAGAACTCAAGGGTAAGCAGAATTCACTTCTTATTTTAAGCAATGCAAAGTTTGCACTTTCCATGATACAGCAAAATAAGAACACATGACCCTGCTGAGTTATTTAATGCAACACTTCTGAATTAGCAAAAGGTGCCTTTGCTACCCATCTTTATAATTTTTCTTCCTCTGAAGTGGACAGATCTGCCAACACTGGAGGAAAGAGATGTTGGTTTCAGCACTACAGTGTATCCTGCACTTAGTACCAGTGGCAAAACGGAGCAGGAAGGACTTACAGACCTGACTGAGTACTGAGTTGGACCTTCCCCCATTGTGCCTTTGGGGTGAAGCCTGCAGTAAGAAGTAAATGTTATGTAATGTAGAAGAAGGGATGTTACCCCAGTGGGCAGAAAGGCACTGCAGGTTGTTTGACAAACCACGCGTGCTTGCTGAGCTCACGGTCTCACCTGGCCCTGCGCATGGTGACTGTCACCCTGACAGGCCACCTCACACCTGGCTCTCAGGTGACTGCTTACACCCAACTCCTCTGGCTTGGTCATTTCTCCCATTCACAGCCACATACCAGCTAGATGGGATAACAAGCTATTCATGGACTAGGTGAAAAACCGCGGAATGGTCTTTGTGCCAAGTGTATCAGGTGGAAGATGCTAAAAATAATAGCATCCTTCACAGTCACACCCACACAAAGCAGCAGTAAATGTCCAGGCAAAGCCCCAGGACCCGCCTGAAGCTAAGCCTTGGACAAAACTCCCGGAGCATGGCCACCTTCCTGGGAACAAACATCTCTCTCCTAGGCACAACATCATCTTCTGTCCCTCTAGTAACCCCAAAAAGTGGCTGCATTGAAAAACATTCAAAAAAGACTAATTTGTATGAAAAACTATCATCTTATTCCCTGCCTACCATCTTGAGCTAAAAAAAAAAAGCCATACTCTAGCTGAAAATTGCTACCAGCCTGTGTGCCGTGCACAGGAACGCATAACACGCACCAGCAACCGTTTATTATTGACTTCTGACCCCGAGGGCAGTTTCCATTTCTTGCCCGCTGTCTCTGCTTTCCAAGCAGCACGCACTGGAGGCGGCGGGGCTGGCGCTGCCCCCCGTTCTCTGCCATTTGCTTCTGCGCAAGAGCAAAGCCCTGGAGCACCAGGGGAGCTGCCAAAGTTCCATCCTTCAGAGGGAACCTCTTCTGCACCAGGGAGGGAAGCAGCCCGGAGGCTGCGTGCATCTTAGGTAGGGGATGAAATTAATCCTTAAGCTGACTTTAGGAGGAGCTGCCATTCACCCTGGGAAAAGCAGGCAAGACGAGGGAGAAGAGAACCAGCAGGCTTCCTGTTCGGCAGTGTCTGCAAATGAAACCATATTGTAAAGTGTCTCTGAAGGGGACAACAGGGAAAATCTTCAGAGGGAAGAGAAGCTCCCTGCTGACAGCCAGAAGGTGGAGGTGGTGAAAGAATGGCCACAGGCATTTCAGAATCAGTCTATCTGTTCTGCGACTTCTGAAGAGAAATCTGAGAGGTGCAAACCATCCTATATCTTCTCCTGTCCTCGGACACTAGGGAACTCTCATCTCGTCCCCAGTTTTCCCAGTAGGAGAAAGCAGTCTGACCCAGGATTGCTAGTGAAGGTTTTTGAATAGAGGTGAATGGCTCCCTAAGCCATCTTGCTGTTACTGCACTGCATTAAATATACGGAGATAACACTGAAATCGGTAATTCTGTGTCCTGTCAAACAGAATAAGGAGACAGTCACTTAGTTAAGATGCTATGGTGTATCGACCCAGCTCCGTGCCAACTCCGCCAGGGATCGTACAGGGTAACAGATTCCGCTGCAGGACTAGCGTCCGCAGCAAGGACCAATGGACAGCAAGCCCCTCGCCGCAGGAGGCTGAGGGTGTGCCTTGCTGGTTACAGGGAGCTGCTCACTGGCTCTCAGGTACGCAAGCGGGACGTTTCTTCTTCAGACCTGATACATCCTGGTGTCAACTTCATACACCTTTTAAAAAGTGGCTGCGGGCAGCAAGGACGAGAGCCTTTTATGTACAGCCAGTCCTTCCTGGAGGGGATGTTCAGCACCCAACACAACTACTCGGTGACGCAGAGGGAGTGCGCTGGCTGTAAGTGAGCGTGTCGCAATGATTTTTCTCAACTCCTGCAGAGGCAATTTGGCATCATTTCAGTGACAGTGTATCAAGAACACACAGGAATTCACTCTAGTGTCAGCATGACTTCTATTTATTTATTGCTGTCAAAATGCACAGTGAAGGAAGGCCCGATGCGGCTACCTCCGGAGTACAATACTTCTGTAAGGTCTGATATTGTGGCTTTTGATGGTAATAGATCAAAGGTGCTGCATTCACAAGCCACAGGGTGATTTTCCTAACTGCCTGAATTACAGACGCACTCCCTGGCTGTCCTTTTTTCTGTCCCATCCACCATCTCATAATATAGACTTTGTAACTGGAAAATAACCAGAGATGATGTGAGGAGAGAATAAAGGGGAAAACTAGCTCTGGATTGCTTTCTCACAGCCCTTCAGCCTTGTAGGAGCAAGAATTCATTTGTGGCTTTCTAGCACGCAAGCATGAGCGGAAAACCTACAGAAGGAGAGGTGCATTAGGGAAGAATGCAAATTGTCTTTTCCTATCGCATCACCTATCATCACAAAAATGTCAGTCTCCAGTGCTGGACCCTCTGACTGTATAAAACCTCCCATCGCCTGGCAGAAGGATACCGGTCAGTAACTGTCTGAAATGGAAAGTACAGTCTGTGCCTTCAAGGCTTTTCCTCTGGTCACACCAGAGTGACTCCCTCCAGCTGCATCACACCCTCCCAGTCTGCTCTTCCACCCAGCATCACTGCCTCTCCTCTGGCTGGCAAGCCAGGGCTCCCCTTCCCAGCCTCATCCCTGATTTCTCCCTAGAAACAGCACTGAGTTGGTAGGGATTGACTCGGGTGGCCTGGGAGCAAAGCCTGGGAGTGGGCAGCGTCAGTCTGCATGGGACAGGTAAGCAGCTACCCTGCTGTCACTGGCTGTAGGTGACACCCAGGGGTACAGCCCTGAAAGCCCCCTGCTCTGCAGCCTTACTGTACCGCTGCTGCTAACCTCATTTCCTTTTGTACCGTTTATACCTTTGTTTCCCCATCTGTCCCACAGGGATAACAGCACCACTGAGTGTGCTTGTAAGCACCCCACAGTGCTGTTACTACAGCCTGGGTAACTGTTGGCCAGCTGCTTGCTCCAAGAAGGTGACCGAGGCTGCAAAGCCTCCACATGAAAGTGATTTCTTTCCTGTAACATATAAATGACCACACACAGGGCAAATCCTGCCCTGCAGTAACAACATAGTGAGCACACGGGAGGGGACAGAAGCCAGGCAGAAGCCCACCTCCAAACAGGCTGTCCACAGTGCCTCTCCCAATCCAGCCCTGACATGCCAGATGTCCCAGTTAGACTGAGATCACCTGGACTGCAATTAATAGGACTGGTAGAAAGCATTACAAAGCCTTGGATGCAGGCTATTCATTGCAGCACATACAGAGATTACTTCCCCAGCTCCACAGCCCTGACAGCTTGCTGCTGCCACTGTTTAATTCTTCAGGTGGTAGTGGGTTTTGCTGCTGGGCACTCCTCACCCACCCGTCCTCCAGCTTGTCTTACAGGTGAGGAAGCCATCAAAGCTGAGTCAAAGGCTCCTCCACACTGAATCTGCCTGTAGATAACACTTTGCACAGCATGTAGCTCTGCTCCTGCTGCTGGCAGGGAGACAGCTGGATGTCCCAATATGGAAAAAAAAAGTGCAGAGGTGGCCCCAGATGTTCTGCGCACAGTCAACACAACACAACCCTCCCTCCAGCTCACGTTGATGCTGCCGAGTTACCTACAAGTCCTTCTCTGCATGTGATCCTCCTTGGAGCCAAATCCAGATAACCCTCGGGTTGCCTTCATCTTGTGTGGCTACCGCTTGCTTGAAGGGGTGTAGCATCAAGAGGTTGCGCTGTGTTTGAAACTACTGCCTGCGCTGGGGAAGCTGGGACTGCTGCGGTCTTCGGGAAACGCGCCCCAGCGAGGTGCTGATTGACTGGGGGGTGTGCAGCTAGCCATTTCCTAGAGGGAACCAGGCAGAACTGGGTAAGCCGTGTCCAGCTAGGGAGGCTGCACTAGCTGGAGCACAGCCCAGTAAAGGGCTTTCTTAGAAGCGCTCGTGTTTGGCAGACAGGCTAGACAGGAAAGGAAAGAAGAGGCACTTCCTAAGCTACAGTCTGTTGTTCACTTTAAGACCAACAGCGGCATCTTGGCAAAACATGGCTTAACATAAGCAGCTGAAGCAAACAGATTGGGAGTGATCAGCAGAGGAGGTCTGCCAGGCTACAGGGAGCATTCAAACTAAAGCAAAGCTGCTGAGGGAATCGCCTACACACAACTTTCCCCCACTTTCGCCACCAAAGGGCAAATCTCCCTCCTGACCCTAGTGCTCAATGGCGCAGCTTTTGCAGAGCTGAACGGGGCAAGTTGAGATCAGAAGCCCCCTCCCAACAAGTCACTTTTCGTCCCCCGAAGCAGAATCCTTTTGTGACCTCATGATTTGATAGAGAGTTTCCCTGAAGTGCTGGTCCCGGCTCAGTCTTTTGGCTGTTTCTTTCAGCTCCTCAATGTTTTCAGCTTCTGCGTGCGAGAAGATGAAGGACTGGGACTGCTTCACTGAAACAAGAGCAGCACAGGAAGGTCATCAGGGACACAAATGGAAGACAGAGCTTCACTAGAGTGCACGAGCCATGCGATCAACACGACCGAGAGCCTGGCAAGGGATAAGCTAACCACTGTGCTCTAACAACTTCACTTTACTGTTGTCAGAGGACAATTTTCATGCTGGCGTCATGGAAAACCACTGTTCTTTACAGCTGTCTCTGACTCAGGGTTCTACGTAGAACCTGACCTAATCCTGCAGGTAGCACTCTGATTGGATGGGACGATGTCCAGGTGTCCCTTACAACCCAATTCAGCCTGTGATTAAGCATTCAGATAAAGTCAGCTTCAAACGTTTTTTTTTAGGGCCCCAGGACCATCGCAGCAGTTACTTTTCAACATACATGAAGAGACAGGAAACCAGTACACAGACTCGGTGCCTGCTCTCTGGGTAAGGAAGCTCTGTTTCTCTGTAGCTCCATTCTACTAGGGAATATGAAATACAAACCACGTTTTCAGACCTCACTGCTCTGTCCGCCCCATCTGCACCTATTTGCTCTTGCAGGACATAGAATAAGAAGCTGCCTGATACCTACAGTCATTCCACGTAGCGCTGGCTCTCCGGCGGTGGAAGCGGCAGCTCTTTATGCGGCGAGTGGCAGCCTTGTGGATGTACACAGAGTTCTTCATGATCACAGGCATCTTGGCCTCCAGCTCAGCGTTGCGGATGCACTCTTCAAAGAACTCTGAGGAGAAGACACCACTGTGAGCAGTGACGGGAGAGACACTACAAGCAATGAAGCAGTCATAAGGGGCTGGACTCACTGATGGGCTGAGCCACGTAAGGATGTTCAACACCTCCCTAGACCTTCATGAACAACAACCCACAGAGCACCGCAATATCATCAAAATGAACAAGTTCAAAGTGACAAAAAACTCTAGTCCCCAACTAATACTTTCTCAGATTATACAGGGAACTGCAGCCATCCATTCCCCATCAATCATTCCCACAACTGCACATGATTCAACTGTCAAAAGCCTCTGATGTTAGGTTAAAATATCTCAACTCTCCTGCACCAGAAGGGTCTGAAACCTTGCTCATCGCACTTTCTCTGAAGGGCTTTTAAAACCGGTCAAGTCTACCTGTGGAAAGGGAGGTGTCGGGAACACTGCCATGGGCACGCACACCCAGGCCACACGTGGCCAGGGACTTCTTACAAATAGCAAATAGCAATAGCAAATGCTAGCACATACATACACACATAACGGGCTCCATGCAAAACCCCATCTCCAAACTCTGACAACATTATTCTGTCCCCATCTGCCACACAAGCTGTTTTTCCTGGCCCTCTTTTGAAGAAAACATCTCCCACAACCTGAGTTTGGGAATGAGTGTCAGGAGACATTCAGTGCCAGAGGTTACCCACTATGTCCTGTGCAGGTGGCTCAGCTCCAGCTGAATGCTGAACTCAACACGTCCACTTTAGCTCTGTTTTCTTACCATGGCTCTCAGCCAGTGGGATTAAGTTCAGAATCATGTCCTTTTGTCTCATTTTAGAAATGTGATGTAAGAACTAGTGAACAATACTTATTTTATTTACCTATTTTTATAAATATGAGTATATTTTTAAAAATATATCTATCCATGTATCTATACTTACATGTGTAACAGTGCTCAGAATGCCACAGAACTTTTTGACTTTTCTATATTGGCCCAACACATCCACCTTTCTTTGAAATGAAGGCTTAACTGCACAGATGCATCGTCACCTTAAGTTTCCCCTTGCACCCTACTTGAGGATGGGAAACAAGCAAGACTTCACCCAATTGAAGCTGCTCATGTCAATTCCCAAACTTGACTCAAGCCAGTTGCTAGGATAATGCCTCATCTTAAAAAAAAAAAATAAAGAAAAAAAGGCAAAGAAACAGGGATAAGCTGTGAGGAACCTGAGTCTCTCACCTGACCTGTGGGCCACAGTCGTCTCGGCATGGCAGTTCTGTGCCGATGCAGTGATTCAGCTCTAAGGAAGGATCCAAACTTCACCTGCTGGGTTACCTACCAGCATGTTGCTACAGCACTCAGGGCCCTCCTTAAACTGCTGATGTTCTCAAAACCAAGGCTGAGAAGAGATTATCTTGAGAGGAATCAGAGGACTCTCTAACTCAGACCTAATTAAGTCTTTACAGCTCTGCCACAGCTTGACATTGTGGAAAGCATTTGCTCATCTCTGCCCCTACGTTTGTCTTCCACCCAACAGGGAAGGCTGGGATAATTTTGCCCTCCTTTGAATGCAAAACACCAAGCACCTGCATAACACATTCTGGCTCCTTAAAAGGGAGGTGTGGTTGAGGGACGAGGGGTTGGGAGAGCACACTGTGTGCATTTTTGCCAATTTGGGAACTTCCTTTTGCGGTGGAGAAGATGGGAAGAAATATTTCCTCTCAGAGCTCGCTCATCAGTAGAGAGGATGGATGACTGACTTACTTCTCAGGTTACTGACATCTGCTTTCATCTTCTCCTCTTTCTCTTTATTGCAATCCAGAGAATCTAAGCCTTGCTCCAAGCTCTGCAATGCTTCCTCAGCTTCTCTCAGTCTCTTCTCCAGATCCATGCGCACCTTCACCTCAGCCTGAGGGAGGGAATAGAACTGCTGAAAGACAGCTTGCATCTCAATAATCACCCTGCTAACTCACAAGGTCTGTGAGGGACCCACGAAGCAGATGAAAATGGCAAGACAGCAGTAAGGAAAGCCACCAGAAATATTGTAAGACAATGTAAAAGTTGTTCCTTATGTCTTCAGTCAGAATCTGAATTTGAAGTCTAAACTATTTTAGTAATTCTCCTTTACTCTGGCTTTTATTTTCACAGCTTCCCTCTCATTGTATGAACCATGTGGAATCAGAGATGTTATTTCAGCATGCGAGTTTGAAAGTTGCTTATGCAAGTACTTGCAGTAGGAGAAGCAGGAGGGCAACTTTCCAGCTGCGACAGACTTGAGATAAAGGCAGTCAGTTCCCACAAACTGGTGTACAGCAATCAGTTTCAGAAACAAAACACAAGAAAAGTTAGAAATAAAGCTATCAGTAGTAGTAGCTTTACAAATACCTACTACAGCTTAGGTCAACATAGCATTAGCTTGGCCAAGCGGAAGGTTACAGGATAAGAAAATCTTGGAGGTGCAGGAAAAAAGAATGGTTTTCTTTTTTTTTCCCCAGATATTTGTAGAAGGAGGTTGAGTGTCTAAACAGCCAACAAAAAGCATAACCTTTACATTATTTAGATTAAAATTAAATTACATACTTTGTCCATACCTTTGCATAGATTAAAATATCTTCCATTTTTAGGATAACAAAGGAGGCTGGTACCTCACCTGCATTTCTCTGCTTTAGAACTTGAATTCATGCAGAGGTTCCTGAAGATTTACAAATCTTAAGACTCGGAGCACAACTGAAGACAGAAGATTTCTGCTCAGTTCTGCAATGTCCATATTAACATTTCTTTGAAATAATCCTTATTCTTGATTGTGTCTACTTTCCACTCTTACTTTTTTCCCCTCCCTCCGTCTTTAGATTATACTTTTACAGTAGCAAATTAAAAGACTTTTACTGAATGGGTTAATCAGGGCTCAGAACGAGAAAATAAATAAATAGTGGTACGTAGACACAACATGGCAACTTCATGTGTTACCATGATATGAAGCATAGCAAATGAAGATTTGCAACCACAAAATGAAAACAAATAAAATCAAGTCTCCCACTTGATTGGGGATGAACTGAAAGGGAAAATGAGACAACTCTGGGCCCAAGGACACCAATATGTGACATATGCAGGAATACCTTGAGGTCTCTCTCTGTCTGCTGCTTCTCCGCAGTCAGCTCCAAGAGTGAGTTCTGCAGCGCTTGTGACTGGGAAGAGTAAAACTCCCGCTCCTCCTCCAGTGCTCGGGACCGCTCCTCATTCTCCTTCATCCTGGAGCATGGCACAGCAAAGGAAAACGACCATTCCCACCCCAGCACAACTCACAGGAAGGAAGGGGCTCAGCGTCCTGATGGAGCATGCTTAACTACCTGGCTGCCCTGAGCAAAGAGGCGCTAACAGGAGCGCTGCTTGTGTTGCACTTCAATAACACAGGTGTTGCTGGAGAAAGGTCGGGTGGACAGCTCTTGAATGGAACATTCTCAACCTCCAGACAAGAAGTGTTTTGTGCTCCTGGACCAGCCCATGAATACCAAATGGATTCTCGTGCCTAAGTCCTGATTTGAAAGGAGCAGGCCCAAGTGGCAGCAAGGAGTTCAGCTGCCCTGCCTCACATTGTCCCCCCTGAAGCGTTTGTAACCTGAACTCCTGCCGTGGGAACCAGACAAGTTTCCAGATTTGTCTCGTGCTGGCAACCAGAAAGCAAGTCAGCAGACAGTCACATTATTCGGTACCAGTGAGCCTGAGCAGGCCACAAGTGTCCTCTGCCGCACCCAAGAATGGAAATTATGAGGGATCTTGCCTCTCTGTGAGTCTCAGGATAAACAGGGGAATACTTCTGAAGTGAGCCTAAGTTTAAGCTTAGACATATTTAGCCGTACTCTTTCTGATTGCCTCTCACCTCCGAGGGGGGAAAAACTGCCTCTTTTCCCAGCACCCTCTTCACACTGGGTCATGTCTTGTCCCACATCCTTGTCTCTGGCACCACTGTGACCCCCTCTGCCCCCCCTTCACCTTTTCTCTGCCAGGATTTTCTCCTCCAGAAGTTGCTGCATCTTCTCTTCGATCTGTCGCAGGCTGCTATGCAGTCCCCAGATGGGGCTTTGCTCCTTGCTGGGGCTGGTTGGAGGCAGGAGCTGGCCCTCATTTTCTTCCAACATCTCCAGCATTTGCTGCTTTTCCAAGGAGAGGTCCTTGAAGAAGGGCAGAGATTGTGAGTATCAAACAAGCCTAACAATTCTGCACCTGGCTCCATCCTATTGAGGCCCTCCATCCTTACATCCACATGCCTCATTTGGGCTAAAAACAGGAATAATAAAAGCTGGTGCTCATTTCACCTCATGAGGAGCAAGCCTCCACCACAGCCTTTGCTATGCAGGGGGGTGAGAACCTGCAGGCGCCTTTGACATGATAGACTAGCAAGGGCCCAGCTCAGGGACTGGAGCCTTCTGCTTCCCTTGGTGCATCACCAGTGCAGGCAGCTTCCCTGCCTTCCCTCACCTTGCTCCTCAGTGTGAACTAGAGGCATCCCCTCTGTGGTACTTCTAACTGCAGGGCAACAGACATATGATACTGTTTTCCCATCAAGTATTTGGTCTGGTGTGCAACTAGGATATGAATAGTCCTTCCCCAGCTTTCCAGTTCTTTTTTCATACCCATAACTGCAGGCAAGGAGGAGAGCTCAAAGGAACATCAGCAACAGGTTTTTGGACAAGCTTGCGGGATCTGACACAACAATTAAGAATGATGCTGAGGCTTCAGAAAGCCAGCTGTGTGGACATTTCACAAACAATGTATGTTTAGAAAAGCCACTTACCACCAGAGTGATACCAAGTAGTGAAAGGGTTTTATACATCAACATCCAGTTTCCTAAACTCCTGTGTGCTACATGATTCCCCAGGAACCATGGTCCCTTCAGTGGACAAGGAACCCCGCTCTGCTGTTCCAATTTCCACCAGGACTTCGGGAGTTGCAGTTAAAAACAATCGGAAAGCTATCATAGACTAATAGCCATGTTGGCTGGAAGGGATCCTCTGGCAAAATCACAGAAGCTTAGAATTGTTTTGGTTGGAAAAGGCTTTTAAGATCACTGATTCCAACCATAAACTAACACTGTCAAGTCTACCCTAAACCATGTCCCTGAGCACCATATCTACATGTCTTTTAAATCCCTCCAGGGATGGTGACTTACCCGCTTCCCTAGGCAGCCTGTTCCAATGCGTGACCACCCTTTCCATGAAGAAATATTTCCTAACATCCAATCTGAATCTCCCCTGGAACAGCTTGAGGTCATTTCCTCTCATCCTATCATTTGTAACTTGGGAGAAGGGACAAACCCCCACCTCTCTGCAACCTCCTTTCAGGTAGTTGTATAGAGCTATATGGTCTCCCTCCCCTGAGCCTTCTCTTCTCCA